GCTCCCTTCCCCTTCCCCTTCCCCTTCCCCTTCCCCTTCCCCTTCCCCTTCCCTTTCCCTTTTCCCTAGTGGTATGAATTTAAAATTCTGAGAGGTGAAAGTACATGACCTGTGGAACAAGTAGGCCTGTGGAATGGGTCCTGAGACAAAAAAGACTCACAACCCTTGTAAACTGGCATCAGATGTGTTATAATGAAATTGTAGCTGTGTTGAATCCCCCATTTCTTGGTGGCGTGTACCGAGAATGCAGAATATGCCAAGGCACTGTCAACCTCACATGCAATTGGAGACTAAAAGCTAAAATAAAACCAGAATACAGGGCATGAGAGAGGATGTGAGATCCAGTTTCTCTGCCAATGAACTCAAGGACCAACTTTCTTCTCTTACCTCCATGGGTAAAGGTACTCACCAACAGCAGTCCCTCTGCAGTGGCTTTCATCATGTGCATGATCCACTTAGAACTCGACTGCTCAAGTCTCTAGGACTCAGTGATGTCTATCATCTGGTATAAACCAGTTTGTTTCCAGCTTTGGCTGGGACACAGGAGGCTTGTGCCATGGCGGAGGCTGCTTGAATTCACAAAGAAAAGGCCAACAGCTCTTCAGACTGGGGGTGGGTTGTTGTATCTCTTTTTTTCACCTGTACTTAAGATATTTCTTGCCTTTCCAGTAAGCCACCCTTTTACGAAGCACACTTGTAGGTGCCCGAGTAATTTACCCAAATTCCCCAGTGTAGATATGCAAGTCAGGTAGAAGTATGAAACCAGTAAGGGTACTGGAATAAGTATCTGAGACAGGAACCTGTGGAAGGGGATAAAATGCCACTGCCTGTACACTTAGCTCACTGATGGGTTAATAACTTGGTGCTTAGAGGTTCTTCATTGAGAACAATGGGCAACAGCTGCTAATGGGGTCCGACACTAGCACCCTTGGGATGAAGAGGAAGGTTAATTGAATTCTAGTGAAGCTCCCTTTGTGTTGCAGAGCAACTGAACAAAGCAGGGCAGCCAACTTCCCAGCGCCAGCATACGCAACGCAGCGAGTTCTTCTGCGGTGTGACTAAACTGCCTTCAACAGAAGGAGTAGATTTACCCTCCCAAAGCTAAATTTTGTGAGGCTGAGATAATCCTCTTGGTAATTTTGACTGACAGCTCAGGCTGGTGTTTGTTCTTACTAGCGGAAACTTTTCAGTGCAGAGTATGTGTTCTTGGATGGCAGGTTTAGCACATGTCTTGTTTGCTGGGGCTCCAAGTGTACCGAGACAACACTGTGAACTCTTCTCCTGCTTCAGTTATTCGTGGACATTCTTATCTGCATAATAACAAGAGCTCTGGGCATGTTACAAATAAAAGAAGAGAACAAAAAAGATCCTCATAAAATCATTCACTTGCTTTTGCCATCTAAATCTCTGGCTTCTCAGAAGCTGTGACACTGGTCTTTGAACGCAGACAAATGAAAGTAATGTTATTTTGATGATGTTTAAACCTGATAGTCCTCATTAGCTAAAACATTGATGGCATTTTCAGCTTGCCAGATAAAAATGTACTTAATGTTTTTAGCTCTTAATTCAGTTGGATATCTTCCAGTATCAAATGGTTTCAGGTTATTAATTTCTTCATTACAAAACTGATTATCTGAAATCTAACCTGACTTTGGAATGACACTGAGATATAACTTTGCTGCATATTCACAGCCTTCCCACAAGCCGTTTTTTATCTGAGTACTGGCAACATGCACTATACTTTCACTCAAACCACAAAGACTTTTACAACTTGCTTCCAATGGAACAGAGCTCTCTCAGTGGATGGAAAGGACTTGAACCACTTTCCTCTTGTCATCTGTATGGGATAACTGGATTTAATTCCAGGAGTCAAGAGCACTGTGGGTACTAATATTCCGCAGGCAATTTTTTGTTTACCTTTGTCCAGGGTCTGTTCTTGTTTGAACATTTCTCTCAGGCTGTCTGGCCTGACTCTGATTTCCTGATGCACTGTTTCCTCTCCGTGTCTCTCCATTGTTTGTGCAGGCTCTTTGAACTTCAGACACTCTTCAACTCCCTTCTCTGCTTCTTCATCTTCATGTGCAATTGTGCATTATGCTGAGGGTGCCATACTAAGGAGATTTTCACCTTAACCTAGTTGCCTGGGTGCTCTAGTATATACTATTTTCATACCTTTGTAACTCCATTTCACTTCCTATATCTGAAATAATCAAATGGGGGAATAAACGAGTGAGCATTGCTTTCTCAGAGCCAGCTTGTCAGTTAAACAAGATGTTTTAGGGCTCTCCAGTATTTTGGAAGAAGCCATTACAGTATTTTCACCAAAAATTTCTCCCTGACACACAGACACACACATATTCTAAAACAAAGTGGGTTAAATAAAAATAAATAATGAACAATCCGATTTTCTCCCTTTTTTTTTGAGAGCCCTCATGGTAGTACTGATGAAGTTGGTTGCTGGACTTCTCACCGAAAAATCTGAAAGTATCTCTTTAAATGATCCCGTAGAAACCACACGCCTAGCCACAGCATTATCACAGATGAGCCAGTTATAGTGAATGCAGCTACAAAGAAAACCAGAAGGAGGAATATTGCTTAAATCAACTCACTTTTATTGACAGAGTACTGTAAGGCAAGGAAAAAATGCCAGATCTTTTAAAAAGAAGATTTGCAGCAAGAATGATTCAGAAAGATCCACAGTTCAATATATTATTGAACTTTCAAAGATGCTATCTTTTATAAATCCAGTATTTACCTTTTTGTCATATATACAAACGCTCAACTTAAGCACAAAACAGAACACAGAAGAATGGACTTGCATATGGAGTTTTGTTGATGGTTCATCATCTAGTAAATGAGAGAATGCTCACATTCTGTTACTATAGAGTTACAGCTGATTAGATTTAAACTTAAATATACCCCAAAACACATAAAGAAACCACAAAATACAGATGTGTTCAATGTGACTATTTTAAAAGAAAAATCTAAACGAAGTTCAACCATATGCAGGGAACAAAACATTGATAGATGCCAAGAAAATTTTATTTTATGGACAAAACTAATTTTGCATTTATGGTGAAAGCCTCTGTGAAAACAATGCTGTATTCTGACCACTCTACATTAATATTTTGATCAGAAAACATCACAAAGCACTGGCTTTTTTCTGCTTTTTAAAGGATATATTTTTTTTTATTTTTTTTAAGTGGTGATGTACATTAACTGTGAGCCTCTTACAAGATCTCACATTCGGCCACGTTAGAGCAACCTACCATTTCCATAGGAAACAATGGTAACAAAAAGGTCCCAGCTATGCTAAAAAACGCAGTTGTGGGCTGAGCTACAAAATATGCCAACTCTTAAGTTCTTCCCTGAGGAAGAACAGAACTTTCAACCCACAGTTTTAGACAGCCTTAAATTCTAAAACTATCAAACACCGCTGCATTTTGTAGCTTTTCTTCTCCACCTCCATATCTGCAGAGCATTGGCCTTTCACTGGAAAAACTTCTGTGTAAGAAAGAGGGTTTTTTTCACCAGTGATAATGTAGCACTACTGGTCCTTCATAAAATAAAAGGCTAGCATGTTCAAATAGGATGCATTGGGATAAAAGGGATAAAGGGACTTAACCACAGTACAGTGTCATGCCTTAGCTTTGCAGGGCTGTAGCATGAGTAGTAATATGGGTAAGTAAAATTCACTTCTACCTATACAGGCAAAACTGAACTGTATTTTAAAAGCCATACAATACTACTCTGTAATTAGAACCCCCAACATGCTAATTTTTATCACACAGACAAGGAGGAAGTTATCTTACGACTACACAAGGAAATGGGACCCAATTAACAGGAGAATGACACCATACATATATGTAACAAGAATATTCTGAAAATGAAGCATAAACCATGTTTTTCACATGGAAGTCTCACGCTGAATGCTTAAATGCACATTTGATTTTTTTTTCCTTTTTTTTTAACCCCCCACCCCCATTTTCTCTATGAAAATCAAGCTCTTTGCATAATAACCAAAACTTGAAAGATATTTACATTTTAAAAGCCAATCCTTCACCTTCTGATTTTAAAACGTTATCTTGTATCTTGCATATTTTTAAAAAAGGTCCAGAAAAGGCTTAGAATTGTAATTCAGAGTCTGTACTTTTTGTAAAAATACTTCCCTTGAACATGAAGTCAGTGCTGACCTCTTCAGGTCATTTGTGAATAATAAAATCTTTCTAAAGAAATGTTACTAAATAAGAACTGAGGGAAAACTCTAGAAGAACTACATTACTTCTGCATTGTGAAGTGTTGCCATTTAAAAGTACGGTACAGGTTGAAGAAAACCACAGAGGTGTGTATATCAAAGTATATTTTCATTATGTAGCTGCAGAAGACAGGAGATCTTTCAATGCTCTGTCTGCAAAAGGCAATATAGTCTGGCTTTGTTAGGACTGCTATTGTATACAGGTTTATTAAAGTACAATCAGTACCTACAGAGGTGAATTCTAATATATAAGTGTGTGCAATGCTTCATATGGCAGAAGGATAAGCATTTGAAAAAATTTATGACAGAGCTTTTAAAGAAATCATACATCACACAGCATCTTCAACTCTAAACACAGAAAATTAGATTGTACTTGAAGTGGTCACTGTTGTTGCAGTATGACTTAAATTTTTCTCAGATATCAAGAAGGTCCTCTCCACTTTCATCACTCTCCACAGTTAATTGTCTCGTCCACCATTTCTTGACTTCTGATCCACACGAAGCAGCATCAGACATGGGATTCATTTTGCATACAACAGATTTCATAGTTGAACGTCCACCAAAGCGGAGGTTGACCGAAGACACTGAATGGCTTATTGGTTTAGGGGCTACGAAATGAAACAGAAAGTTCTGTATTAGAGTGGACCTGCTCCTTGAGCATCTTTGTTTAGAATTCAGGTATACAGAACCAGGTGGACTGGGGCAGCTTAAAACAGATTTAGTGGAGAAAGTGTAGGGCTTTGCTCTGATGTGTTCACACTGCTCCCACTAATCTGCCGGGAAGGCAGTTTAACTGAGCAGTGCCTCATTTCCTTCTGCTGGGATAGCTGATGCAATAGATTTTTTTCTAACCTGGCAAATTGGAACCAAAATGGTTTAGGCAGTATTTACATGAGCTGACCCCCTCGCAAAATGGTGAAATTGGTTAAGTGACAAAAAAAGGGTGAGAAAAGTGCATTTAGAGGTAGCATCTACACCTAGGAATATTTAATCACGGCCTAGGGGTGGAAGGCAGTACAAGGTGCTGGTATGGCTTTAGGAAAGCACTAGAACACCTGTGTAGGTATATAAAAACTGCAATTGGTCTTAATGGTGCTACTCACAATCTTAAATACATGTCCTTGTTGGGTTGGAGACAGACTACTTAACATCTGCTTATCTGTATTGTGCATGGAGGTTACCCTCCTTTTCTGAGACTGTCCATGGAGATACATTAAAGAGTGATATGGGCAAGATCAGTGCTAAGAAAGGAAACCCTGAATTCCTCATCCTCACCTGAAAAACCTATCCAGTTGCCTGCAGTAGTACAATTCCTCCTTAGCATGCTCCCTCTTTTATTCTCTCTCTCTGTTCCAACAAAATGTTGATCTTCACTGCTCAGTGACATTTAAGTGGAAAACATGGACTGAAAGCTCCCTATTAAGCTGTCCTGCTTACTCTGGTGACAAAAGTAGGGTTAATGGTACTCAGAGCACGTCCGTCTCTTCTGCTTCCACCCAGATATGATTAGGGTCTGAACAGTGGAAGCCTTGGAAGGCAGCACTCTGATTTGGAATAGGACTGACTGATGACACTTGAAGGCAGGTTGATGTGCACACATCTAACCTGCTGGTCACAAGTGTGGCAGGCAGCAGAGGTCAATATGCACTTTAAGAGAGACTATTTCAAGTGACGGAGAGTGGTCTTGGGATAAAAACTTAATAAGGCCTCAGACTGTACTCTCCCACACTCCTATAAGCACTCTTCCATAAGGTATAGTCTAGCCTTTCTTTTCTAGTGGACTGTAGTTACTATAATAACTTGAGGATGCTTCTTGCTTCTGAAAGAATAAATGGAAAGCTGATTGTACACCTGGCCAAATCGTGGCTGAAGTAAAGATATAAAAAAACGTATTATTATGGTGTAAAGTAGAAATCATACAGCTGGTATGTGTAGAGAATACTTATATTACTACAAGTAATATAATATTACTTATATTATTACTACTGAAGGAAAAACTTCATTAATTTTCACTGTGCTTTACATGATAAAAGAGAACCCTAAATGCACAAGATGCATTCCAAGATGCTATCCAAACACATCAGATGGCACAGCCCTCAAGTCCAAAGATCCTGAGTGAAGGTATGAAAAAGTAAAAAAACTCAAGCACCTGCCCATGGCAATGCTTGGGCCCATCTTCCAGATTTTCAGAACATGGAGGAAAGGGAGAGATTGCTGTATTTCATCATGCATGAGGGTAGAAAAGTCCTGATGTGCGTGCAAGCAGCAGGTGGGAGGTCGAACCTTGAATCATGAAACTTCTCATGGCCTTGTTATTGCAGAGCAGTGATTTGGCATGTGGGGACTCTACTGATGAACGTTCTTCACTTACCTGATGGCAAACGCCATTGTCCAAATTTCCGCTGAGGTTTCCCAGCATCTGCAGAGTCTTGTTGGTAGCCACCTCTGTCAGAAAGTGTCGGGCTAAGGAGCTGCTGCTGGCTACTCGTCTGAGCAGAGAGAAAAGAACCTCAGTCATAGTTCCCCATTGCAGGGGTACAACCCCAAGAAAGGTTTTCTTTCTACTCTGTTTCCAAGCTTTGTGCACGAATACAAACAAAACATATTGCCATTTAGTAATGCAGCACAGTTTTTATTCTTAACTGCCCCAGAAAACTACTACTAATGTGAAAAAATAAAAATACCATTTGGGCTCAATGCCATTACATAGTCCCACTGAAGGGTACAGAATTGTTCTCTGCTGTCTACAGTAGAGTCCTTTTGTTGTACCTTCTTCACTCCCTACCCTGGAAGAGCCCAGGACTCCTGCTCAGAGGAGCCAGCACGCTGTGTTACCACTCTCCGTGTAAACACTGCTTTAGAGCCTGTGCACAGATCATGCTAGAGCTGAAAGTTAGTGCTGCCAGAGCTGTTCAGCTTGAGTATGCCCTTTAGCAAGACAGCAAACTAAGCTGGGCAATTGCTGCCTCAGAACACCTTGCCTTTACATCTGAAGGCAAAGACTGAAGCAAAACAAGATATTGCTTTCAGGTTTTCCAACTGAAATGATGTTTACAAAAGAACAACTAAGAAACATGGAAGTTTTCCAAATTTGTCCTGAGTAGCTGATAATCTCCTGGTTAACATACCTCTGGCTGTGCACTGTTATCCTGATTAACAGCATTCATATCTTCACTTGGCTGTGTTGTCTCAATGCTGGGAGGATTCAGAAAGCGGCTCAGCTCCTGCTGTTGACTCTCTCGTAGACTATGGATAATGCTGCACGACTGCTGCTGTTTCTATCAAAGTACAATATGTGACAACGAAAACGTTCTCATTGGTGTGTAACAGTGTTTGACATTTTTTGTGTTTAATGTCTTCTAAATATTCAAACAGTGAGCACCAGATCTGGATATTACGTTCGTTGACAAAGCTACATCTACAAGATGGTCACTGTTTAAACCAAGTGACTTCCAGCATATGTCTAGCCTTTATGTAGTCAATAGAGGCTGAAACATAACCCACGTTAAGTGGCAGGCAAGTTGCTCAATTGTTGGTTTAAACCTAAATATTAAAAACGTAGCATTTTGAATTTATGAGCTAAAAGTTCTTGCAAAGGAAAATAAAAGAGAATTGGTAGAGGTACACTAAGAAATAGGTGAAGGCAATGAAAAAAAATCTTATTTATTTCATGGACTTTGGAACAGGCTGTCAATAGGACTGAATAAAACAGTAGTGGAAACCTTGGGACTGAGTATGGACATACATACAGTACAAACAGAAAAACAAAAGCACTACCATTATGATCTTACAATCTAATTTTCTTCTAAATTAAAATAAACACCCCTTAGGAAGGGTTTCACTTTGCTGGGTAGTTTTCACATGCTCCCTCCAGAGAGACTTAAGAGACTAACAAGAGAATTTGAAAATATATATTAACTTTCATAATGACATTCAGTTTATAAAAGGTTCATATAATGTGAAATGATCTGAACCATATTATTAGAGTGAAATGAATAGCATATTTACTTTAACATAGTGTAATTCAATATCATAATGAAATGAACATCAGAGTTGAACAAACTCAGAATTGAGAGCTGAGATTAAATTTACTGCCTTTATTATTACAGAGATGAGAGCAAAATGAAGCTAACTGAATATGCCTTGAACATGGATGTTTCAGCTGGAAAGTATATTACATTCCAATTGTCTAGTTACTTGTCTTTACAAATTTACAGACAGAAAAAGCCAGATCCCATGTTCACAGATCTCTATGGAAAACCTCCACCAACAAGAAGTAAGCTTTGATAAAAATAAAAAATATATGCATCAAAACCTGGACTCAGCCTTACAGTAGCTGAAAAATCAGTCATCAAGGCAACCAGGTGGTGACTTTTTATAAAAGGAGGAGTTTGTTTGGAAGAAAAGAGGAAAATAACTGCAATACTTAATTCAAATTTCCTAGAACTTTTAAATACGAAGTTCATCTAAGACAAACTTCACTCAGCATCTATTGTAGCTATGCTAAGCAAAAATGTTTCTGAAAATCAAAAGCACTGTGTAAACAGAATCCAGAAGCACTGGCTAGGTTGATACTAGAAGATTAAACAGATTGGGATTTCCTGCAGTGCTGAAGCCAAGTAAGAGGCCTGGACTTGTATGATCTGGCTCACCTTCCCTCTACCACACAAGACAGCTTCAACCACTGCCTACTGGAAGCAGTCTTCACACTGACCCACTCCTGGAGGGCAGTGGTGCTCCTATAGTGGTGGTCTGGGAGAGTATGAGCATGCACGGGCCACAACTGTGCCAAGGAATATGCTAATGGCTATTGATGATCCCAGCCCAGTCCTGAGCCAATGCCTGGGCCCTGCTTAATTTATTGGCATAGACAGAGCTACTGTGTGCCATGGTTCATATACCTAATTTGCATGTACACACTGCTTATTTGCACACACAGTTACTGTAATGGCTCATTCAAATGATCTATCTTGCTATGGGTTCCATTTGAAGAGTCATCTGCTGGTGACTGATCACTCTATCTTCGGCTGGCAGAGGCAAAGAAATGATACAATTATGTTCTGTGAGGAAGGATTAGGCCTATGGGGTTTCATCAAATTACATTGTTTTTTCTTTATTCCTTTGACTTTGGTCTCCGCACATGAATTTTCCTGCTATATTGAAAAGACAGCTACATTTTTGGCAGGAAGACAGTTTTTGACTTCAAAAGATGCTTATTTTTGTAGCACTTTCAATAGAGCTGTAACATATTTTTTTTTTTTTTTGCTGAGTTAGCAACTGCTACATAATTCTTCACATAAATATTATTGTGACTCCAGAGTAAATGAAGCACAGTGTCAGCAGATTCCAGCACTGTGGAACAGTGCAGTTTCTGCAACCACACAGCCCCTGCTTCAGCTTCACTTACTGCTCTGATTCGCTTCAGGCACTTCTTCAGCCACATGCGGATGGTCTGCTTGGCCACCTCCTCTTCTATGGTATATTCCAGTTGCTCCCTAGCAAGTAGCTCTTCCAGTTGAAGACTTTTTCTGATATCAACAGATCTATACGAAAGCATGCTGGAAGAAACATAGATTTTATTTTTCCTAAATTCTAGTGACCTTACCTTTTTGTTTAGAAAATCAAACCTCATCCTTAACATTTTAGTGCAAAAATAAGTAACTCAGGTGTGTGCAATAAAATTGCATCTGAAGCTAAAAAACGCTGAGATGATTCTGGAAGAGATTTGTGATGCTCAAATCAAAGGAAGACCCTGTGTCACCCACATCTAGCCATCCAATATAGGTAAGTTACTGAAGTATAAAAAACTAGAGCATTTGTGGTGGTTTGCTGTGTTTGTTTGTTTTTACCCTAAGTGTGTATGCTTGGATAATGCTGTCATCTCTATTTTATTTCTAGTCAGATTCACTGTCATGTTGCTACACAGACAGGGACAACATTTCATTGCTTGGGATACACAAACACAGAACTGCTGCTTATGACAGACCAGCTCAAATGAAAATGCTAAAATTTCTTAGAGCTGGTTTCCTAGGACCTGTGTTTTCCATCACTAATATTTCTGCAGGGAAAAAAAAACAGAAATCCCATTTTTTCAGTACATTTTAAATAGCAGTCCCACTGTGGTTACCAGTCTTGCATTCTCCCACACCTAACAGGACACCTCTTAGCCTTTAGAGAAACACGGGCTATTCGACCCCTTGTGCAAACCTAGACAAAATCTGGGAGTACCTGAGCACGTCGTGGAAAGTGACATCACCACCATTATGGAGCCGTTCCATTTCGTAGCACATGTGCTTGAAGAGCAGCTTATCCTTGTCGAGATCCACCTCCAGCCTGCCCCGCAGGAGCCTCAGCAGAAACTTCACTCGGAAGGTGGGGATTACTCCCTGGGTGGCATTGCATAAGAGATAGTAAATTATTACTGTGACCTAACCATCAACTCAGGTATTCAACTTGACCAGTGAGAGAAATGCTATTTCTCCAAAGACTCTGCGTCAAACCTTGGCCTATTTAAGTCACTGTGAACACATTACTGAAGAACACACACGTGCAGCCAGCACTTCGGCACATTCACAAAGTCTTTGACTGATTACAATGAGAATGTGTTGTTAATTTTGCCAGAAATTTTCAAAATTGATTGGGGAATTAGTTTCCCCATTTAATCTGTATTTGCATTAATCTGTAATGAGAATTACATGCCCAAAGAGCTGCCTTTAAAAAACTGAAATTAAACTGCAATTTAAACATTCACAGCCTGGTCTACACCTGGCTGTAAACCTGTCCCCTTCTCTGTGCATCTTTGGACAGGAGGATGTTAGGCTTTTACTGCCTTTTCAAAGGCCCTCTGCTCTGAGAGTCAACCTAGCACGTTGTACTTTTTGTGACAATTTTGATCTGCTGCTGAAAAATCAGGACTGAAAGTATTTCTCTCTGAAACTGTGGTATCCATACTCTTTAATATTTTGCTCTGCTAAATGAGCCCTACTGGAACTATTTTTTTTGCTCTTAATTATCTTCTTCCATATCAGAAAGAGATAGTCAGTGCTGGGCATAATGGATGCAGACCTCTCCACCTCCATCAGTACCAACTGCAGCCTCTCATCTCCAGCACAGTCATGTGCTAACTATAAGCAACCGATTTCTTTTGCCATAACGCTGTTCCTATTCAAAACTTGGTGATGTCATGAATCACTCAGATGATGATTTAACTTCTGTGCTCATCTGAACAGCTCACTCATCCTGATAGTCTCTTATCAGAGAAACACAGAGTGCTTGAGGTTCAAAGGGACCTCAGGAGGTTAACCCTGTCCAACCCCCTCTGCCAAGCAGGGCATCCTAAAGTCAGTCTCCTAGGACTGTGTCCAGGTGGCTTTTGAATATCCCCAAGGATGGAGACTCCACAACCTCCCAGGGTAACCCGTGTCAGTGATCAGTCATCCTGACTGTGAAAAAGTGTTTCCTGATGTTCAGACAGCACCTCCTGTGATTCAGTTGGCGCCCACTGATGCTGGTTCTGTCACTGAGCACCACAAAGCAGAGCCTGGCTCCATCCTCTTTGCACCCTCCCTTCAGGTATTTATAGACATTGATGAGATCCCCCTGAGCCTTTTCCTCAGGCTGAACAGTCCCAGATCTCTCATCCTTTATGGAGAGGAGACAGGCTCTAGTTCCTTCATCACCTTTGTGTCCCTTTGTTGCACTCTCTCCAGTATGTCTATGTCTCTGCTGTACAGAGGAGGCCAGAACTGGACCCAGCACTTCAGGTGTGGCCTCACCAGTGCTGAATAGAGGGGAAGGATCCTCTCCCTTGGTCTGCTGGCAATACTTTGCCTAATGCAGTCCAGGATTCCATTAGTCCTCTCTGCCATACGGGCACTGCTGGCTCATGTTCAACTTGCTGTCCACCAGAACCCCCAGGTCCTTGCCTGCCAAGCTGCTTTCCAGTTGATTAGCCTCTCCAGGTGCAGGGCTTTGCACTTCCCCTTGTTGAACCTCATGAGGTTCCTGACAACCAATTTCTCCAGTGTGTCTACATCCCTCTGAATGGCAGCACAACTCACTGCTGTATCAGACACTCCTCCCAGTTTGGTGTCATCTGCAAACCTGCTGATGATTCACTCTGTCCCATCCAGATCAATAAGGAAGGATCAATAAGGAAGCTGTTGAACAAGGCTGGCCCAAATACAGACCCTTAGGGTACATGACTAGTTACCGCCCTCCAGCTAGAATCTGTGCTGCTGATCATCAAACCCTGGGCCTGGCCAGTCAGTCAGTTTTCAGTCTACTTCATTGTCATAGAATCATAGAATCATAG